TGGGAAGTTCGAGCATTAAGGAGCGTGTGTGAGATTTTTCGAAGAAGCTATAGTAATCTCGAGCGCGATCTTGATTCTCTTGTCTGATTTCGGTGAAAAATACTTAACTGCCATTATCGCAACTCTCCTCCTCGTTTCTTTGCCGCAGACGAATCGAAGACTGTTCCTTTCCACGATAACCAGCGAGATATCAGCGATCTCAGCAACGTATTTACGCGATTCGTGACCATACCGAACTGGTTTCGGTCTCGTCTCGATAAGCGAAACACACGCAATGGCACCGTGTACCTGAAATTACTTCTTTGTTACCATTTCGTTCGAATCGGCGATTCGAGGATCGTCGGTATACCCTGTGGCAATCGAAGCTTCAGACATTAGAACACTTCAGACACTCGCACCGATAAATAAACCCTCATTTTCTTGCAAAATTTATCGCACCATGTCCTACATGGATGCGCTCTTGTTTGCACCTTTTAAAGAGCCCCGTGCAATGATCGCACGATTCTCGTACAAATTGCAATCTCCGCAGAGGATACCAATGTTGTAACGCAAAATTATCAGGATATTCAGCGAATATACACAGAATGGACCACACAGAATCCGAAGTTCAGCTTTTGCACGTAACGTGGCATCGATCGACCAAACTCACGGTATAATTCGCAGCTTCCGGGCGAATGATGCACCGTACTGAGTAAGGCATTATCGAATTTCTGATTCGACACAGCCGACCCTCTACCTGCCTGCACGTCGTCCCGTATAAATATTTAACAGCTCGGTCATTTCATTTTTAAAATACAACAAATGATTTTTGTTGGAGAGATGTATAAAAATAAGCTAACATCGATCAAAGGTGACTTAATCCTCGCGAAATTAAACTGACCATATACATACTCGTTGCAGATCGCTAAAGGAATGATGCAGGCGTGAAAATGTTTAATATACTGTGCAACATTCCCTTCCCAGCAGGCTGGAACGTGTTGCAATTAACACGATCGTAGATCAGAGAATTTTTCAACTCTCACGAAATAAAGTGATCGAAGATGTAAAGCGGCCACCTTAAAGAGCGTTCGTCGCTTCGGTGAAACCGATCGTAATTAACGTCGCGAGGTTTAATTGAGACAGCGTTTTAATTAACCTGTTATATTAAACTGCCGATCAAGAGAAGGTGACGGCACTGAACGCGAACACCTCGGCGAGATTGACCCGTCAAACAGGTGGATGCCGATGATCCGACGTCGTGTCGACATTTTTGCAGACGTTTCTGACCCCAGGCTATACGCACGGTTATCTACGATCGACCGAACGAATTCGGATCGAGCCACCATCATTTCCCGTTACCACATTTTGGTTCCAGGCATTACTGTCATCATCATCGAACATTTTGGATAGTATCAGCCTCGCTCTACCTTCACCTGTTGCCGTGAAGGGTAATAAGGGGTTGAAGAGGATCATTTAAAGCGACCGACGCTGATATTAGTTAAAAAATTTCCAGGGATTTCATGGTAGATAGCTTAATTGAAAAGTAGCGTGCCGGGGATACACGTTCGTTTATGGAATCTTGAATGGGGTTGATAATGGGGTTGAAATTTTGTTGTGAGAGCTTTTTAAAAACACTGGGATTTATTTGAAAGAAAATTAAATTAAAATGGATTAGAAAATATTTAATAAATTCAAATGGCCGATTTTTCGACGATCCCCATCACTTCATTAAGTCCCTCGCGGGACGAGAGATTATCGATTTTGTGCGGTATCGATATCCAGCCATCGTGATCCCTATCGTTCACTGACTCGTGATCGACCTCCCAAACAGGCCGGCTGTCCGTGCAAGACGAGCCAAAACGACCTGAACATAATGAAATAACCATAAACATGCTTGCACCATTATCGAAGTATCTTCTTCGGTGGCCACCGGTTTCATCCGGTCCACCTTACTTCTGCACGGTTTTAATGCGAATTCTAAACAAATTCCTTGCTATTTCTGGCAACGGTATCGTGGACACGACATTCCGGTCGTTAAAATTCGTAGATCACCGTGGTTTATCGTATTCGACGGTAGGCTGGAAAGCATTATCAATACGCGTGGGAAATACCAAATGGTGAAAGAATTACTCTTTTTAATAAATTGAATTAAGAATATTGTAATCGAAATATTCTTTATCATGATTTTCTGCAGAAGAATTTTATACAATTTGTTCCTCTTTCACTACCTTCTCAATTTCTACACGAAACAGCAAGTATTTAATGTCCACGAATGTTTGAATTAAAGGCCATTTGAAGGTATCTAAATGTGCAAGCATGGTTCAGTTGGATGCAATTAAGGTTGCGAAACTGAATGGCCGTAGAAATCGCCACATCGCCAGCAGACGCAGGCGGAACGACTCTTTCGCCTGGTGGCAACGAAGCGGTAGCTTATAATTGTTTATTCGGTCACGTTGAAATACGAGGGTAATTTCGGATGTCGTTAAAGGCCATTAAACGGAATAACCACGACGACCAGCCAGATATGCATTCTTCCATCTTCCCCGTGGTGCAACGCCGTAAATCCACGTTTATTGCCGTCGAATTCGAGACGCGAATTCTCTCGCTTCTACGCTCGAACGATCCTTCGAAATTCGCGCGAGCTTATTGCCTTGCGATGTTGGATTTTAATGGCCGGATACGCTTGGATCATGTGTAAACATAAAAGTAACTACTTGCAAGGATGTTATATTGTAACTTGCAAGGGATGATTCTTTTTTTGAGGTTTATTTAAATAAAGACAGAGGTAGAAAATTTATTATACAATCTTCAGATCGTATGAAAAATAAAATTCACATAATATTTCAAAAATAATCTGATTTACTGTCACTGGCAAAAAAATTCAATATACTTCGGTTTCTTTTCCACCAAAAACGTTATTTTAAATTTCATCTCGCAGCTCTTTCAAAGCCCATCAAAGCATCGAAAATCACGTTCGTCGTGATTCAAGCTTGATTTAACCACCCCGCCAGAAACTTGTCGTATTTCTGCAACATAAATGCTAATGCCTCATGGGTGAGCCGGTGTAGACCGGTCCCGTGATGAATAGCAACACGCGTTCACGGTGTTAGTCGCGGCTTGTTCGCATATTTTTTAGACCCGGTGAAATTAATTGGAAATTAAGCGCGCCGTTGATTCGCTGTTTTCGGTGCCGGCCTGGCCGCCGATGTATATCTCTGATCTACGACAGCTCGTTTCTAGTTATTGGTCGTTCACGGAGATCCCCTTTCGCGTGGATCGGCCGTATATAAATCACCGGGACGTGGAAACACGAGCGAAAATCGCTTATTCGCGCGAAAGAACAGTCGAGCTGTTTGAGCCGAAAATTTTATTACACGCTGTTGCCTCGTTTCAGAGATTATAAATTCAATTAAATCTGAGAACGGCTAGGTTGCTACGTTGTTAATGGTTAATAGCGGTAATGGGGCATGAATTTCCGCCGTGTTTTCAACGGATCAATCGTAGTCAACTATTAATTTTGCATAAAATTAATTAAACCCTTCGTCACTGAAGCGCACCTTCGAAATACTGTAAAATACCAAAGTTATTTGATCGAAGACTTTAACAAAATATCGAGGGATTATTAAGTTCCTCTTAATTTTAAGCTTCGTGTATCTGCTTGTTCAATTAAAAACTGAGTACGCCTCCAACGATACGGCACATTGTAATCGGTCCGGCCAATAATTTCGGAAATCCTAATTAAAGTTAACGTCTTTAATTTCACGCGAGTGTTGTACTTTTCAAATTACACGCTGCTCCATCAAGGAAGTTCGATTGACGGTTGTTCGTAATAATTCGATCGATTCCTCAACACGGGCCTGTTATTAGCGAACTTTATGGATTGGCACGGATTGTAATTAGGTCTTTATCGATGATTATGGCGCACAGATTTTTATGGTTTTCATTGGTCGGATGATTGGGCATAGATTGGTAGGTGAACACCGTTCGGTTCTAGGTGTTAAATGGTTTCGGTGGTTTATCAAAACGAGATTCGTTTTGATAATTGCTAGCCAGAGAATGAAATATCGTAAAATAGCAATAAATTAGACGTGGCGATTTGTAGAGCAATCAAAAATTTTGCAATCAATATTTCTAAGTTTAGAATGTTTCCAAAGGTTTTGATTTCCTTTAATTATTTTAGCAGCCAAGTAAATGAAACCATTTCTTCCTGGAAATATTATAACATAAGTAAGAGCTGTGTTAATAATAAGGCGAAATTATATACTTGTCGGTGCTGTTATTTAACACCAGCTGAAGGTGAATGGTGAAAAAAAGTTGGCATTAATTGTAAGGGATCCCCGGAACAAGCGCATCGTTCTCATTCATCGTAAACCGCAAATTGATTCCGTATGGTGATATTTCATACCGTGTCGCGTTCTTCATCTGTCATTCTCGCCGTTCTCTTCCCGACATGAATCACGGTTGCTCTGAAAGAGAATCATTTCACCGACAACTTATGACTGCTGCAGACTGCTGCTACTAATGAATGAACGGAAGCTGTACGCGCGGACCGACTATCAAGACGGTCAAGATGGTAAGATAAGATTCATCGTAAGAGAAAAACAGATGTAAATAAAGCTGCTTGATCATCTGATGCTTTAACGTGTGTCTTAAGGTTTCACCGTGTTGGATGATTTATTTTTTTCGCCTCCAATTTAGATCAAGATAGCACCGGTCAAATTTTGTAATGACTCGGATATTCATTTCGAGAAACAATTATTAATACTAGAACGCATCAAGCTTGTCAAGATGATAGATCTCGATTCTTTTGTCCAAAAATATCATTTTCGTTCAGGAAGGTACACTAATTTATTTTCAAGGCTTTAATAATTTATTTTTATTTAAAAGTAGATAACATCGAATTTTGGTTGTTTTTCTGAAACTTTCAATTTCAAATATTTTCTTAACACCTAATACCTGTTGATCCTAGTGTAATTATAAATATTCTAATTAATCAATTAATGTCTTGAAATTGTTCCCAGGATAAATGCATCGAGGCCGAGCAGCCTGGTTTAAAAGAAAGTAAGAGGGGATGGGGTGCAGGTTTCTTGCTGAAAATCCGAGGATGTCAACGCCAGTTGACGTGGTTGAATACATAAATCGCGTTCTTGCCCGGTTTCACTTGGAGATAACAGGTAAGGGAACAGGTTCTGGTAGGTGAGCGTACACGCTGCCGGGCGTTACATAGCGAAGACAGAGATGATCGTTTGATAACGCACAGCCTGGTCTTACGTCTCGAAGAACGATTGTAGTAGCCTCGGTTGATGTCCGTAATTTCCGGCAGACGTTGGTGTATCGTTGCGAACAAAAAGAAACAAGGGGAAGTTGTATCTGTTCGAAAACGATCGAACGAATGCAGCAGGACAAATTAATTCATAAGGAGTACAAGTTCAATTGAAAACTTCAGATCTTGCTAACAGAACAGATTATTTCTAATGAACACTTGGAATGAATAATTACACTGTCGGAATTAGAATTCGAAATCATTTTCATGTCATTGCGAGAACATTGCCTAATCAAGTGATTTCAATACTCGTCTTAAAACTTCAAGTGAGACGTGAATACAACTTTATTTCAAATTTTATTGTAATTTGAAAAATTAAATCTGAGAAGGGATAGAATTCAATTTAATTTCTAATTAGAGCCCATAAAAAATCAGCGTATTATCAAAACCCTATAAATCGCCTGGAGGACTCCCAATAAGGTAACACGATCTCATCAATAAAAATTAATTAGGAATCGAATAAATGAAAAACAAGCGCGTTACATCGATATCGAAGGAATATCAGCACGGTGGTCAAAGAATCAAGTCGATGCAATCCTGTTGGTTCCTAAACCACTCGCCGGATACTCGTTCCCGTCAGGACGTGGCCCATTTTTCAAAATCGTAATTGCATTTTTTTATTCCGCTCGCGGCCTCCCAGTCCCCTGGTGGTTGCTCGTCCTGTTCTTTCTGGCGATGCGTGGCTGCTGTTGCTGCCACTTCTGCGGACCTCGATGGCCCGGGAGGCAGGCATCCATATTCATGCGGAATAAGGTGCAATTAAACTCTGCGAGGTGTCAGCTACGAGGAGGGCATTAATCACCCAACAAAGCCACATTTGACGCACTAACCGCCGCGGATACCATTACACACGAACCACATAATAAGCTTGCATTACGACGGAATGATAATTTCACCGGCAGGACTGTAACAAGCTGCTTTGTCGCTTGATTCACTTCCCTTTGTGCTCGTTCGCCTCCTCTTTTTTGGCAGGATTTCAGAGAGATACGTTTGCAAGTATGTAGCAAGAAATTCTTGACAACAGTTGGGTAAGAAGGTTCGTGGTGAGAGTCGAAGAACAAAGGGGAAAGTGGGTGAAGAAATTGAAGCGAAGGGTGAGACTTAATTAAGACCGATAAAGTTGTCACTTTAATTAGAGTTCAGAATTTACACTAATTTTTGAATCGAATATATAGAAGAAATAAAAACGGGGATCATCCGACTTTCACTGTCCATTCTGTTTAAAATAAGCACCGATTAATCAATTAGAAGCATCGATAACCCGCAATCTTTTTTACAACAACGTTTACCTTAAATCCTCTGGAATTATGTCTACAAGGAGAGGAAAGTAATCGCTTGAAATTACGAAGACACCAACGGTCCTGTTCGTCCCAGTTTTTTTCACGCGTTCCATGAAAATTTCATAAGGTAATTCAGCTCCGGGATGGCTCGGATCGAAGGTAAAGCAGGAGTACGTACGGTGAATTTTTCTTTTATTTTTTCAACAAGCCAACGGTAACACGCGTACAACGTAAAAATACTCGAAAACGCCTTGAACAAATTATACCGCAGGTGGGCCAACCTTGGCTGGGAGGAAAGTAATGTCTACATTTACACGCGAGCATGCAAATTGCCGGTGAATTTATTACTTATAAATGTGAGATTATTCCCCGGTGATTCATCTTTATTATAAGGCGTCCGCGCACCGGGATAGCGGCTTAATTCGTTTTGCGGTGTTATTTTTCGCGTGAGATTGATAATCGGTTCACGGATCCAGAAGCGTGTCGATCGGGCTCGATGGTTTACCGAAACGAAAATCGGCGACGATTTACATCGAGAACCGGCGAACGATTAACCATCGGCGAAACGAGCGGCCGCCTAATCCGGAGCCTTCAAATCAGCCGATGATTTAGAGGAGAGTCGCAATTAATCTCGGCGTTATCGTTCGCTGAGATCGAAATTGCTCCTGCAGTCTGGAATGATCAATTCGGGTGGACCTCGACGTTGCTGCTGTTCCTTAGTTCGAATGATGTGATCATTTTTCGGAACAAAGACATCTTTCATTTTCGTCTTTGCATTAGTCATTTATTCTGAGTTTTTTAGGTAGACAACATTTTATTTACACCGCCAACAGACAACATAATATAAAACCAACCTTGAAAGACAATTTAAAATCTGCTACAATATCTGTAAAACATAAAAATATACAACAAACTGTAAATCTACCTTACCTAAATAATAGGAAAAAAATCAATTTTATTTAGAAATTTCTTTAGAATCTTCAACGACGCCGCGTCAAGACGATTTCGAAAGGTGGTTCACTCGTTTGCGCCCCTTCTCACCTCCGTCTCTTCTCTAATCTGAAGAAGGCGAAGGAAGAAAGTGCAAATCACGATCCGTCTGGCATCGGTGAAGCTAGTGAAACGCGTGAAAGCGGTACAGGGTAATGTTCGTTTCAAAGTCCTGTAGGTGTGATCCACCATAATGGCGTGTCAACGACGCGAAACGTTACGAATCAATTTGTACGGTTTCAAAGACGTGAAACGCCGAAATGACGTTCCGCGTGGTCTTCGATCGAGCTGGGAGAAATGACTGTTGAAGAAATTCATCTTGCTCATCGAAGGGGATCGTCGCACCGTTCAAAGAACCATCTCCTCTCCGTGCATGGAGAAATATTGAACGTCACGATCTGGTCGTTTGGCGATTCTGATGCTTTAGTGACTTTCGGCAAGTAATGGGCGAAATTAGCATGAACAACGAGGTGAGTGGTTCTGTCTTTCAAGGTCGTACGATGGTAGTGGAGATTAGGGCTGGTTGCCTGTAGGGGTAGGTTGACTAATTGTTAACCCTTTGAGAACGAATCATTTTTAAGCTTGCATAAAGTCCACATAATTTTAAAAAAATCCAAAACTGAAAAACTAGCCTACCAACCATGATCTCCCCTAAAATGAATCGAAAATTTTGAAAGAATGAATTAAAAAATTTTCTTCTTCCTAGCGAAGATTTTACAATTTTTCTAGCATTCGCAGAGCAAACATCGACTGCATATAGTTTTAAAGAAAGTGTTACGTAAATTTTCTTCAACAGTGCCTGGCAGCAATCGTTCGAAGAAGGAACTGGTGGAATGGGTACGAGGAAGGAAGCAAGCATCTCCTCGCTCGTAAACAACGAATCCTTTTCAGAAGGGATAAGACCGAGCCCACGCCAAGTGGCGCATCTGCCGGCTCGTTATCTAATGGCGGCTCATGCCGGCAGATAATTGAGCTCTCTGCCACCTGAGGCGAGGCTCGAATAGATGCGGCCTTATTAGGAGCGATGCTGCGTTGTCCGCGGTAGCCAAGCCTCGAATCGTTGTTATGTATCGATTCTTGATTAAAACCCACCCTCGGGCTGCCACCTCATTACGCCTTCGAACGAACAATCTTTCAACCTCCCTTCGATCCTTTCCTAATACGACGTTAGGTGTGAAATGCAAAATCTTAAAGAATTTTTGAAAAAAAAAAAAAAATTTCCAAGCTGATATTATTTGTGTAATTTGAAATAGCTGTAACCAAAGGATGGTGAATTTATCGATCCCTGGATCTTATCGATGACCGCTTGTTAAGCAAACTTCCAACGTGACTGATGCAATTGGATAAGCAAATTGTTCCCAGGTCAACGTGTAACCTTATCTACGATACAATTACGATATCAGTGTGCCTGTTCACCGTGACTGCATCCAATGATAGAAACTATCCCATGTCTCTTGAGTTACGGGGTTGTAATTCTACTTCGGAGGAGGCTGAACGCATAGAAAGCGACAGCTGCAATAAATATACGCGTCTCCATTGAATTGTATCGAGAAGGAAACGTTGGCTCACGGCCAGTCTTGCACCTTCGTACTAACAGATTTTACCCTTATGAAATCCAAAACGTATATTTCAGCAGTAAATTACAGTGTCCTTTCAGACGACAAGGTGGCGTAGCGAAAGGTATACCCTGTTAGGATCCACAGCGAACGTAGTTTAATAGATAAAGTTTGAGATGGAACATGGAAAAATGGTTATTTAGAGATGTTTAAAATAAGTGAAGCTTGAAATGATTTATAGCGAAAATTTGCAATATTTTTATCGTTATAAATTTAATCCTCAAAGGTGACTTTCGACAGATTCAGAGGTAACTCTGTTCACTTTTATGGAAACCGTGTATAGAGTCCCTAAGGCTGTTGAATAAGTCAACGAATGGAAATGGCAGGGACACTTTACGGTTGTAAATAATGCAAAACGAAGAACAGGCGAAAAATTGACGGTCTCAGTGTCGTATTCGCCGATTTTTCATAGAGTATCCCATTTTCAAGAAAAACGACGCCTATAAGAGGTTATCGGAGCGTATGGTTTCTCCACCCTCGGGGAAATCGAGCGAGATCGTGTCAATAAATCGGATGGCGTGCGCGATTGCAGCCAGGGAAAAGAAATGGAGAGGAGAAATCGAAGAACGCGATGGCATCCTGAGAGATCGGCAATGGAAGGTGGCCGGGGGACACGATTGTAACGATCGAGAGCAACTGGTCACGCATTTCGAAGATTTAACTTCACCTTTCAAGAAGCGTTTTACACCTTTTTTAATCCAGTTACTGGTCGATAGACCATTTTATTTCAGACCTGCAGAAAATTTATGGAGACTTCAGTAGTAGAAGTCAATAATTTCGCAGGCAAATCATCTTAATTCGTGCAATTTGCATATTTTACTCCAGCTCCAAGTCTTCTCCATAATTCAGTTGACACGGGTCAAAAATTAAAGACCAGAGGTACCATTTCTGTCCCCCTTCCTCGCAAATACGAATCGGTATCTATAAGAGCAAAAACGGAGAGGACACGCTATCTCGATAACGATGTCGTCCGATTTCTTGGCTTCCTCGTACATCGAGCCATTAGAACGACGCAGTGCGGTTGCAGGTGAATTTTGGCCGTGGTAATAATCTAATAAATCGGCGAGAAAGACGTATGCTCGGCTGCTGTGCGGCCGAATCGAATGCCGTTCGGTTAGCGGGCCGCATTCCCGATTCGATGTTTACGAGGCTGACCGGCCGAAATTTATGAAAATTATTCGCGGCTACCCCGATTTCGCGTATTCATGCAGCGATGCCCACTCCACGGCCACACGACATCCGGCCGGACCAACGTTCCCATTGTTCTCCCCGCGACATGTCGAAATTTCCATACGCGACGGGGTTATCCAATAAACTCGGACAGAGGCATTCCGGCTCGGCTTACCCGGAAGTTGCTTATTCCCGACGATCCTTTTGTTCCAGGATAAGATCCTTTGTACACGATCCTGCTGGACCGTGTCTTTTGGCTCAGATATGCGCCCCTTACGAGTAGAATTTTGGGAATGGTCTCAGGTAAAAATTTTTAAACGAGTGGAGATTTTATATTTTTAATACTGAAACTATCAAATCGGTCAAAATGACTAGTTTCAAGTTTCTTATTTTAAATTTTACATTTTCGATAAAAGATTCATTGTTCCTGAATAATTGCCAGCAGGTAACATCCGATCAAAAGTGTTGCGCTGTGCGGTTTCGTTCACTTTCTTCCTGTTTACAGATGCAAGTGTTAACCGTTCCCATTCGAAGAGGAGAAATAAAAGGAAATTCGACTGGTGCAAGTGTGTTTCCATCGAGATAAATGCGAGCATTGCGGTGACTATCGTCTCCCTTCACTGGCCATGTTCTTCATATCCCACGGGTCTCGCTGCTATCTGCGTTTCTTCATCCGTGACCGGAAATATGCTTCTTGCTATATAAAAAAGAAGGTGTGGAAAGTTGTGTGTTAACCACAGAATCATCTGGCTTATTGTAGACCATCGAATGTTCGTATGATTTCAGCTGCTTTAATATCCGTCCCCTTGGCCACGATTATCCAGACAAAAACATTTTCGTATCAATGTTTCAATGGCAAAAAATTTAATGTCATATTTGTATTGCTTTATTTCTTCAGACTGACGATACAGGGAGAAACGAAAAGTAAAGTGTTCTTATTTGAAGACACAGGATGGTACATCGATTAAAATCAAATATTTAAATGAACTTTTTCAGGATGTCATGATCCTTGGTGCAACCATCCTCCTCTCGTGGATTTACCACTGCCTTAAGGTGCCATTCTTGAGACCTGGGTGCTCGTCTTCCTGGCACAGACTCTTGGCAGCAGGTGGTTCCTCTTGCAAGATGACTGGATAACCAAGCATCCGGTTAAACGGCGGCACTGGAAGCGCGTAACTTAAGGTACGCCATTAACGTTATCTCGTTCGTGAATAAAAATGGCTTGCGATGGAGGAGTGTGAATCGCGAACCGACTGAAAAACACGGAAAGAATGGAACCTCCGGTGTTTCTTAGCTGACGCTCGAAGAAATCGAGTCTCTTCTCTGTTCTCTCTTCGACGCTTTCCAAGAACGTTGACAGCCGGATTCTGAAAGTGCTCGTTTGGCGCTGAATTATCTCTGAACTTAAGTCCCTGTCTGTTCGAGTTTCTGGAGTTTCGATTGAACGTGTGAGTCTTCCAGACGCTCGAGCACGCTCTTGAGACGAACCGAGAGATTGAACCAAGTGTGGCGAAGTAATTGACAGTCAGACGTCGAAATTATCCAAGTTGGATCCGAACAAAGCAGCTTATTCTTGGTAAGGAATAATTTCCGATTTTCCTAGTTCCCTGATCTCCCATCTCTCAATTTTACAATTTTAATTTCCCATTTTCTCCACATGCCAGTTTCCGGATTTCTCATTGTTCCAATTTCTCGATTTTTCAATTCGCCAATCTCAATTTTCCATTTCCCCTAATTTAACAGTTGCCCAATTTCTCATTCCCCCATTTGCCAGCTGTCAAATTTTCCATTTTGTCCAATTTGTCAGCAGTTAATTTTCCAATTTGTAAGATGACAAATTTCCCTATTTATCTATTTTTCTAATTTCCCAATTTCTTGGAAATATGTCCCATTTGATCTAATACCATTCCCCAGCGTATTATCTTTCTTACTCTTTTTTACAATTCCATGTCGACGTTCAATTGTTCGTTACATCAAAGAGTAGGTCGGTGATTCCTCTTCGAACGTCAATTAAAGAGCAATTCAGAAGATACGCGCGCTTCACTTTCCTTCCCTTGATGCTCGCGAGTACAGCAATAAATTTGTCTTTTTTACGGTGCCCTCTGTTAACCGTGTTTCACGAAACGCTGACCAAGCGGTTCAAATTTTATTCCCTTTCATTACTTATTCTTTGACGAGCAAGGTTCCACTGGCGCAACGCGCAATCTTCCCCTGTTGACACTAATTGAACGGACCGGAATAATGCAACGATCTATCGTGGTACCGCTGGGATTTTCCCGCGGGAATCAATCAGAAACGTTTCCCTCGATGGAGAATCGTCCACGTCGATGTCATTGCTTAATGGACGATGCTCGCTGAATGAAGGAAACACGACTAATTTGTGGCTCGACATAATCGAACGATCCAATTTTCGATATCTGTTGTTAGTCCAAAGTGGTATCCACGAATATGGTGCAATTTGTGTTGCTTGTGTACCTTCAATTACGACAGAATATTAATTAACTCTTTGACTGTGAAATGAGTACATTTACTCTGTTGTACATCCATTAGCCAAGCCCAATAATAATATTTCTCTGAAATATTCCAAAATATTTCATCCATTCTCTATCAAACTTTGAAGATTTCAAATTTGTATGCTCATCTTCATCGAGCTGTTTCCCAAAACGTTCATTAATCAAACTGCGAATCGACTAGCGAATCAGATGCACCAATCGACATTTCCTTGAGAACATTAATTGACCGCGTCAGGATAATCCTGAGGTCCACGAATACTTTCCCGCGGGAGCTAATCAAAGGTAGGCCGGACAAAAACACGGATTTATGGGCAGTAGGCGGTACAAGGATCACGAGGGGCCAAGAAAGCAGGAACGTGGAAGAAGGGGACGTTGGGTGGATAGATAAGAGGGTGGAACGAAGCGAGGAAACGAGAAAAGAAAAGGTAAAGACGAAGAGAAAGGTCTGCTGTTCTCGAGGGACCGTCGTCGAGGCAGCAGTAATTACTTCGCGGCTGCACCGAGGACGATTTTTTTGTTTGCACCGTGCTAAGTGTGTTCCTTAATTGAATTTAAGGTTATTTAATATGCTTTTAGCCTGCTATCTGGGTCCTCCCCCTTACATACTTCTGGAAACACGAGGCCCGATCGATCGGGCCGGGTACGCTCCGTTTCCCTTCTCTCCAAACTTCCACGCGTTTTCTCTCCTCGTCGGCGGTCCGTCTCGGCAAGACGTCACCCATAAACCTGCTCGGTCCTGAATTATGTCCGGGGCTTATCGAAAATACGGGGCTTAATTTCTGCCCGCCGTCGTTTCGATTACAAAGCGAGAGACTCGCTCGCCGAGGGAGAGATTTAATTGATGCGAACGGACGACCGATTGTCTCGAACGCGCTCTTTCCGCCGAACCACGAGCTGCTGTAAATCCTCCGGAAATTAACGATTCCATTGCTGGATACGAGCTTCATTCGGACCGGTCAAATTTGCCGATTCGCAGTTGGAATTTCAGAGAGAGATCGAAAGCTGCGAAAGAGATTTTTCGAATTTCATTGACGAGAGATTTATGAACTGGGAGTACAAATTGATGGAATTCTTTCATTTCATTCAAAATTTTTCCCTCGATTTTGTACAATGTTTGAAATAATAAACGCGGTGAACGATAAAAAGTAACAGTATCGATTTAAACGATCGCCAAAAAATCTTTAATGCGCCATAGGGACATTCACGCCCGGCGTATAATCGATTTCACGAAGCTACCCGCGAAATTAATCGGCTGCTGAAAAACTAATTTGAATATCAAACGACCAGGCTACCGGGTGTAAATTACTGTCCTCGGCCGTGACAGAGATTCAAACGACATGCGCCAAAGTATTCCGCGAATACGCGTCTTAAATCAGAATAAGGATACCTTGCTTCGTGTACACAAGGGGACAAGCAATGGCGATTGCGATCCCTTCTCGATTTATGGGGTGGTGGTAAACAGCCGGTGTAATTTACCCAGCCTCCCAGTGTTTGTAAATAACGTTCTGGTTAGAAACTAATTACCACCGGCCAACCAAAATATCAATTCTCCGTCGATTATTTCGGTCATTATATTTCACTGGTTTAATTAAAAAATAATAGTATTTAAATTGTCAGCGACGAAGGTGATAATCAACTTCAAAATGGAAAGTAATTTCTGTTGATTTCGAAAATAAAATCGATAGTCCAAATTCTAAAGAAGAACGATGGTAATAATTATTGCTTTTCGGTTGTACAAAGGCATATACCGTTGAATTAACGATCATGGTTACCTCGCGCACGGTTTTGTGTCAGACTGATTGACACCACGTCGGCTTACGTAAAAGCCTGCGGCGAAATCTCTCCGAAATAATAAGCAGGGTCGATTTGAAATCGAGTTCACTGCCTCTCTACTTCTTTCGTGCACCTTCGATCAATTGTATTCACGTGGGCGAAAATGAGAATCGGGATTATTAAGTGGATTATTTAACCAATTTCCCTCTATTTTATTTTATTTATGTAAAACACTAAATCCTCGAATATTCGTATCAATCTGACAAATTGAATTATTATAATTGACAAATTAAGGCTCCGTGACCAAAGAATGATACATCGAATGCCAAGTTATATGAAAGTATAATACCAAGATTTATATTGTTATGTGAAAGCAAACGTGATCGAAATTATAATCCACCGAAAGATCCAGGTAAGAAGCTGAAAATTTCGACACGGTCCACGTGAACTGACCCGGAGATATCATATTTCTCGTTGAATCTAATTTATTCCGACAGGGAACAGTCGAAGATTTCTAGATTTCGTTCTACCTGCGAGACTCTTAAACTGCCAAGTCGGAAGATTTCTGGGGAGGAGAAGTTATTACGACACAGCGGGGTGCCCGACTATTTCGTGTTACTACTTCGAATAACAATTACACGCCGAGCAATTATATTTTCCCCCGGTGATGTCGGTTCTACGAAAGAATGGCAGCTATCATTTGCCTGTCAGAAACAACACGAATAATTATTGCTCCTCGACGTGGCTTTAATTAAACGACCAATCGAAACAAGACGAACATCTGCGTCGGTGTTGTATAAATAATTAATAGAGGAACTCGTTTTCATCAAGTTGTTCCATGATTAATGAATGATACTGAACCAAGGTTCCCCTAAAATATTAACAAACTCCTCATCTTTAGGGAATTACAAGAAAAATTCTTGGAGATTTCATGAATCGTTGATCCGGGAAGCCAATAAACTTCAAAGGCACGCATAAACAAAAAAGATACAAGGAAGAAGTATCGAAAAAAAGTGTCACAAGAGTGGCGTATCGTTCGCGTAGAACAATAAATCGTGTCCTCTTGAGGAACGCAGGTGGTGGTCAAGGAAGAGGGCTCGTCGCCGCGTCAACTTTCGGTAATTAATCATCGATGGAAGATGACTATCACGGCTGAATTATCTACGTGTAAACTAGCCGTGTGGCTTGTACCTCTATTGTATAAGCACTCAACCCTTCCATTGTGGCCGATGAGAAATCGGCCGGTTTTCATATCCGTGGGTTTTGTTTTACCGCTTCCATCGGACGCGTGCGGACCTACCGTTTCTTTTCCTTTTCTCCTCGGCAACGGAGAGAAGATATCGTCGTAACGGCGAGGCCAGGAAACGTTGCACCGGTGTTTGTCGCTGAATACTAAACGTTTGTAGAGAATATCCCGTCCCGCGGACCGAGACTCTTTGCAGTCGACGCAGTAAATTGCATCGAATGAATGGGAGGCGAACGTGTAACGTGATATTTACATTGTAAATAGTTTTACAGTGGTACTTCCTTCGCGCTGCAACGTGACACACGCGTTTTTCAAACGTCAACCGCGACGTGAAATAGCCTCGATTTTTAATATCAACATCGTACCGAAGAAAGGAAAGAGTAAATCGAACCTGGCGAGCTATTTGTCATAGTTTATTCCAGGAATCGAATTGCTATTGTAAATTCTAGAGGAACCATCGTTGTTAAATTGCATCGCTTTCATAGCTGTCAAAATATTAACATCAATTAAATGCAATTATTTCTTTCTCCTTATGGTGGTACCAAACGTGTAATTTCAATTCGAAAATTACGGTTCTCGTGTCAAATAATTTGAAGACCCTGATTGTTATCTACGAAAGAAGGGTGCTACGGCAGAGGGTTAAAATGGATGATACTGTGGCTTCCTTGTGACACTGGTCATTTACGAATGGAACCTCTGAACATCGTGATGTTAGACAACCAATTATCACAGACACCGTCCACCAAACGGAGATAAAGATCGAAAAAAGGTCATAAATGTCCTTTTTCAAACACCTAACATCTATGAACACCAATACAAAATCTTCGCTGTAAATTATATTCCCATGGTGTTTGAGCTTGGAACAATTTTCATACTAATGAACTCCACAAATTTATATCTAATTGGTGTTATAATTCCATAGAATATGTTCTCTCTTTTATGAGTTTTTGATTCCCCTGGAATATGAAATTTAATTGTTTTTATTCCTGACAGAATTCATTATGTTAAACACCTTGAGAGAAATGAAGTCAAAGCTTAGCAAAGTGACAAAAAGCTCTAATCATCTCGCAGAATTAACTAACTAGTCCTAAGGTGTCCGAGATGAGTGATGCGGGGAAGGAAAGAATGTCGTAGGACAACGATGTCCCTTAAGAATCATCACGGTGAAACACCTGCCTTGTACAAACAATTTTTCATCATAACCATTCCTCGCATGTATCGTCATTCTCGGTCATTCGTCTCGTCGTTCGACTCCCGACACCCATCCATCTACTTGTTATGGGGCTTTCCTGGGTCCCTTTTATCCCTTATGGCATCGGTTCTATCATGAATCTGTCGCCCATCAATTTACCTTTTTATTTAAATCAAAACCTACGATAAGAAAAATATGAATCTATGTTTCAAACAACGTAGAGTATATTGTTTAAACGATTTTTGTGCGGAACCCATCGAGTTCCATCGAATCCTCGCATAATCCTCTTCCGGCATTCTTGCTCAGGCGTGCCGGAGGAGCAGAAGTAACATGTTTTCGCTTCTCTTTCTATGAAACACAGTGGGGTATCATTGTGCGATGACGTCTGTGTACAAAATACAGTATTGACACGTTCAGAGATGATCATTAGGGCTCATTGTTGACAGTTCGCACGTCGAATCGTCACTAAGGCTTCGTCTCGATGTCCTGTCACGTTCTAAGGAGATCAGTTTCGAAGGATTTCGAGAAACAGGCATACGGCCTGCTTCCTGTCTCGTTATCGACCGTTTGCCAAGTGAATAACTCCTCGGTTCGGTCACGTTTTGTACATAAATCCAACCTTTTTCCTTCTTTCCTATCGCAGCTTTGCGCAGTCCTGGGATAAGATGAGCTGAACTAATTCAGACATCAATCTTCGGGCAAAATGTATTCTTCTATTCCGAATAAGATTTTCCTCGTTATTGTAGGAGTCGATTTTTCTCAGTTGTCGCCTCCTTGTTCTCTTCTTCAAGAACAAGCGACAATGTTTTTCATTATTTTTAAAAAAGAACCGTCCTACAGAATGTTTATGTAGGAATCGTTAGTTATGGAATGAATTTTTCAATAAATATTCAGAATGATGTATCAATGGTATAGCACAGGTGCAACCATAAATTCCAAAAATTGCAGCCCACTTGGTAGCAATATGTATCCCCATCGATTTACCTGTTGCAACAGGTAGATTCCACTTACCTGTTCGTTCCAGAAGCTTGTAATTAGCCTGAAAACATTTCGAAGGAGAAACATTCGGATCTTCCGTGGAGTTTTAATAATTGGAGAAGGTGGAACGCGCTTCGTCCACGTGGACGAGGAGCTACGTGAGCGTGGCCAGACGACATACCTGGGAAGTACTTAAATCTGAAGAAGCCCAAGGAAAGACGAAGTGGAAAGGAAGCGAGAGGACTTGGAGAAGACTCCGCAATTACAGGTACAGCCCTTTTAATGGACTAACCGGGAAATATTCCGACCGTTTTCGCCGTGCCACGCGTACCTACCTTCTGTTCGGACAAGACAATTAAAATTAATTGTCCTTCTTGTCACCGTACGCCGATCACCTGAAAATACTCCTTCTACTCTTGTTCTCCAGCTGTTCCGTTCGTGCACTTTTTTACCGACTCCCTGCGATCACGTTCGTGTCAGTCAACTGAAGGAATGTCTTTTTCCTCTTTAAATTTGCATCTTCTGAGACTTTCTATGTTGCGTGTATTTCCCATTAACGTCTTTATTCAAAGATTCGTGTTACTTTCAGATTACAGGAAAGAAATGTGACAAGTGTTCGATTAAATACACGAAACTGCTTCTGCCGAGCAAGTGTTATCAATTCAATTTCCGCGCCAAGGATCGGTGTCTTAATTACGAGCCACTTAATTAAAAGAAATTTCCTGATCACCTGTTGATGACCGGCTCCTTCCGTAATCTGACTAAGGTATGAATTTTAAATCTAAATTAATTGAAAAGTATAAAAATTTATTAAAGATACTTTCGAATGTCAATCACTATTCCTAAGTGGTGTTAAAAATTGAAAAGTCCAAATAGCCAAGTGTTTTCTTCGCTAAAATCATGTTCCAACGTTCGGTGAAAGAATCGAACAAGCTCGTGAAACGCTTCTAGCAACAGGTTTGCGCAATTAAACGATTAATGATCGGAGATCGTCGATCGAGGGAGATCATGGGAATCAGAGCACTGGCCCGGCTCCAGGCGTTAAATGCATCTGCATCGTAAGCGTCTGTCTCGTAAATTTCCTCGACTATACTCCTGGAAATTCAATAATGAGCCATCAGGTACTTTTATAAACCGTATATCACGAATTGAGCGTTCGATTACCCTCTGTCGCAATTGTATCTCGTATTCCGGCAACGTCGAGTAAACTAGCGACTTTGATACCATCTTCGCGATAAGATCGGTGAAAGTTGCGAGTGAAATTTTTATTGGAAATTCTGGTTTAAAATTCTGCATAATAGTAATCCCTGGCTATCAATATCAAAGTAAATTTTTAGCAAAATTTTCAATAAGAATTCTGATAATTTTACGTTTGAAAGGTAAGACGAAAATATTTTGTCAGAGCCTTCAAAAACTTTCTCTTCTCTCGACAATGAATTATCAACTTCTTGTATACTTGTCACTTTAAAAGCAGACTATGTTGTACTTGATTAAGTCGAAACGTAGGATGAAGTGACAAGGGAAGAGAGTCTCACGATTTCTCCACGAAATTTTTCGATTGATTTGACGGATAAGGGAGCAATCGAAGGAGGGAAGTTTGCGTCAGCGTAAATCACTGTCAACGTAAGTAGAAGGCGGCAATCGATGTACAGGTGAAACCCACGGCGCGTTCTATCCGCCAATAAAACGTACGGTAATTGACCCTTAATAATCTTGTCATGACGAGGAATTGCAGGTTGATCTGCTCGTTCGCCACAGCGCTCTGTTATTATCCGCGACGATTTAATTACAAAATTAATGCGTCCTATTAACCGAGTAAGCACCAGCAGATGCGTCCCTTCAGAACAAGAGGTGGAACGAGTGTGTTCTCACGGGTATCCTATTGATAAATTCTAATTATTCTCAATTTTCTTTAAACTATGTATAAGAAATTGTCTACATTTGAAATCTGATGCCTGAAATTTAAAATTTATAAATTGAGATTTGAAATTAGGAACTCGAAGCTTTAATTTGACATCTGAATCCACAAAAGTTCTTCTAATTGTTTTAAACAATATATCTCTATAAAGATGTCTAACAATTTGTCAACTTTCAAGCTTTCAAGTTACGATCAACACGCGATATCGAATCAAAGAGTACTCGATAACGATGTAAGTGCACGTTTTCAACAGCTGTTGATACTCCAGCTGTGCCATCGATTTTAATTAAACGACCGATTTATCTTACCTCGGATTACAACGTGCCGATTACAAACCAAAGTATCGTCGCGTGCAAGCAGCGGGTTCTCTTCGACGATCGCCATGGGTGATATCCGTGAATTGATTTTAAATCGAACACGATAATTGTTCGTGCAGTGTTCAAAATATAAGATTCTCTCATCCCTCGTATTTATTTTACTAAGGGTAAATTTTATCGTTTTCTCCACTGACCATTCAATTACAGAACGGAAATGATACAAAACACGTAATACCGAGAAATTACTCATGGATATGTCTGTTTCGCGTGTTTTTAAGTTTGGCCACCGGCGGACGAAATCGCAGTTCCACGGACCACCCTGAAAACCGTATTAGGTTTAATACACCACGCAAAATCTCGCTGGTAATGACTGGATAGCTACGGTTATTACCAGTCCAATGCTACCACGTCGTTTCCTCTGACCAATCGAGCAGACAGAATTACTCTCGATTGGCTGGATCTTTCTTGATACCGAAACCGTGTGGAACGCTTTAATATCCTTGCATCTCCATAACTCGAATCCTTTCCTCTTCGATGAACTCCTAATCTAAAGGCACGTAGAATCGTCTAACAATTCGGCGAGCTTCTACAATTTCAAACATTCCAAACAAATCCACGGATAGTTTCGACGATCGCAGTCCCTTTCCGACAAAGTTAAATTGAGTTTGGAACTAACGACGACGAACGAGATTATCCTGGAATGATTCAGAAAATTTCGTAGCCAGCAATTTCGCTAACTTTTACCATTTAACTAACATCGACTAATCTGTTAAAATATACATTTTCAGTGGTGCTCTTAATTCAACGATGATGTTCCATTACTTCGTCTGCCGGTTTCGAATGAAAAATTTCACCCTTTCTAACCCTTTATTTATATATCAGACCGTAAATCCAACTTTACGTAAGCATCAATTTAAACTTACGTCACACCGTTTCGTAATGAAAGCGATTAAGATTGCCCAGGGTACGTTAAGGTTCTTTCACGGCAACTTGCGCATTGTTTCAGCCGGCATTGAGCATCGCGAGATTTTCCTTGCATGTCAACGAAGAGGGCAGGTGTTTCTTTCGCTTCCTTCACGGTCGTCGCGTGGCAGAAGCGGGGTCGAGGCGAGACCGAAGCGAACTTGAAGCATGACCGGCTCTGTCTCCCTTTTTTCATCCTCTTCCACAGTCAAAGATCAGAGGAAGATCCTCGATACCTTCTCCTTTCTTTCCGCTCTGTTCTGCGATATCGTGTCCTTCTTCCTTTCTCGACCATCCAACTCTACTCTTCCTTGTTCGATGTCCGTGGCGTTGTTTCTCCTTCAACCTGTGCTGTTTGCTTCGTTCTTCGTCGTGGCGAGTGCCCTTGTCCCTCTGGTTCTCCAGAAGAACGAGAACTGCCATTAGAAGCACCCCGTTCCATGTAATTTGACCACGGACAATGTGGACCACACGAAGCGCGATGCTTACCTACGTCGCACAGAGGTTCTCACAAATGGTAACAATGGTACCGATAAAATAATTAAATTTCATTCTTCGCCATGAACGGTGCATTTATTTCTCTAATTAAGAACGAAAATAAATTTCAACCACATTCTCAGAGGGTAACATAAAATATATTTATTCACGCGGTGCAGCAGCTGAGCAAATTTCTTTAATCGTTCGCTTTCGATCACGTACCATCGGCAATGGTTCGGTAAATCTTCGGTAAATCGCTGAAATTACGTCATGTTGGATTGCACAGCAAGGACAGGATGGATTCTTTTCACGTACCGTTTCGAAGCAGGTGCACGCTCATAAAACGTGTTTCGATCAAACGTTTCGCGACCGCTTCATGCCTTACATTATTACTGCATTACCGTTGATGCATTGCTCGTTGCACCGCGTGCATTATTACCGGGGTTGCGCCGTGGCTCGATACCTGAAAATCTCGATTCCTTGCCACGATGAAATTACAGATCAGACCGGGCCATCGAGTGTACACAGTCGCCACTGTGACATCATCGGTAATAATTGAGAGGCTTTTTATTACGGAAATCAAGTTCCGAGAAGCTGATTACAACCTGCAGCTGAAATTTACTCGCCACTGATGTAACAGGAATTAATTCTTGTATTAATAATCAGAATGTTCACGGTTGTTTTATAACCAGAACACCCATGTACCATGAAAGTTCTGCTTCAAATGAATATTCAAATGATTTACCGAGTGATTTTGAGAAAATTTAATAGGAACTTATATGAGAATTTATGGTGTAATGTTTGAGGATCACTGAGGACAGATGCTGCTTCTCTATGCAGAGCAAAATCGCCGTTCTTCACTGTTCAGCGAGGCTTCGTCTTTGAAACTGGGTTCCTCGCACGCGCATATAATTATAAAACGATCATCATCGTTCTCCTCTTCGTCACCGGAAGAATTTTACCCTCCCTCTTCTTTCTTCCTCGAGAAGATTTCAAATCTGCCGATTCATTAAATTAGAACCGGAATTAAGTTCCATCGCTAATGAATCGTAATTTAGCAGCAATTAAGAGACATTAAATTATTTCATTTCTTCCGCAGCTATAAAATCTCTTTGATAAAAATATGGTCTCACTTTCAAGTACCAAAAAACCAGACTCTTCATCAATCATCCTTAAAATTTTCATAATAACAGAGTATCATTTATTATTCAATTCGATTAGGTGTTCGAGGAAGCTGCAAATTGTGCGCCTAAATATGGTCTGATGAAAATGATCTGGCCATTGAATTTATTTTATTCTCGTGGCAGGTGGTGAATTTATTTTTTTAAATAATCGAGCTGTTGCAAAAATAATATAATAAATTGTTAGAGAAAATGCAATTTCAGAATACCGAGAATAAGATTGAATTCATTTTTCAATATGAGTTATTAAATGTCAATCTTTCGAGCATTGGACACGTGATAAGAAAGGAAGAATAATTTTTCATTGGACAGAAAGATCCTTTTGATTGATATTTCCTTTTCTTTTCTTCTTAAAATTAGTCTGTGAAACAGGTTCCTAATTTCATCAAGGGCGGACATAACGTCAAAATTTGCAAAGCAATCAGCATATGGCATCTGGTATCAGATTCAATCGTGTCTTCATTAATGGAATCATTTTGCGCGCAGTATGGTCACAAAGTCATCAAATGCGCCGTCCGTTCGCGGAGGTCCATGTTGGGATTAATGAAGGTACTGCCGAATCACTGGCCCAAGATAGAAGCTGTTGCACATGCGAGCAGACATGGTAGCCACTTTTGACTGACTTTCAATTAGCCAGCTTTGACCGTCACAGAGGTTCTCAATTCAAATCATTTTAATTGCGAGCAAATGACTCGAGTATTTCTGATTAGGTAATTAAAGAATTCTTAGTAACATGGATGATGGATTTCTATGAAGATTCAAGCACCACCCAAATAGGAGTAAGAAGGCAGGATAGAGGAACCATAAGTGTGTTAAAAAAAATTGAGAATCATCTGCAGGAACAGGTTCATTCGATTCATTAAACTGTCAGGAGGTGAAGGATAGCGAAGGTGGTACCCTAAGGAGTAAT